AGTCTGCTGGACAGTAATGTGCTAGCTAAATTGGAACATCCATCGAAGGTGATCTACTCGCTGTCACCACACCCGAAGAAGCAGCATTTGCTAACAGCCGCTGGCCAGCTTGTCTACCTGTGGGTGGCAAAGAATGATGAGGATTTCGAGTGTTAACTTTTTTTTCTCATTCTATATGTCATGTGTTTTTGATGTACTGTTGTTGATGGATGTGAATTTATGTAAAATTTTGTTAATTCTGTAACTTGAATAAAATCAATAAATTTACGTTGACTTAACGCTTCTTTGAAGCCTGGCACGATTCCAACAGCTTCCGTATTTTCACTTTGTTCCATATTCGTAGTAAATCTATATAACATTATCGTTATCTTTTCTAATGCTCTAGCTTACTGATTTTACTCTTTCCTAATACTAAACGTTTGCATAAGTTAGTTTCAAAATATTTTTTAAAAAATATGATCAATAATGTCTACTGTCGTTGTTCAGAGACAGACTTCAGCCGTTCCTGACTGTCTAAGAAGTACTCGTTGGCTCGTGCGTTGGAGACTTCTAACATCTGATCAAATGTAAAAAAAAATTACAAAACGGTTAGTGCTAAATCATGAAAGATCGATTTTTTGTTTCCTCATCGTCAGTAATTTATTTGATTTGATATGTTGATATTATAACGATTATTTATGACTCAAGTTTTGTAAAAAGGTAGTAGTTATCCAACGCCAATGTTTCCTCCAACGCCAACAAGCGATTTTGTTGGTCGATAGTGGGGTACCTTGATGGTTCCATCCTGTAATGAGAATTTGAATTAGTGCAAGTAACTTCCTCCATTCAGTTATGTTAGCGCAAATTCTTGCAAAAATATTATGGTGGCCTCGTTTACGGTTACTGAATAAATCACTTGCATCTACAACAAAATTGCAATGCGACTTTTTTATTGACTTATAATTGTTTCGAGGGCATGGTTTTAGGAGCTGTTATATTCCTGTTTCGTTAGAGCCTTTTTAGATGATGATAGTAATGTAGTTCTCAATATTTTTTAAAGCGAGAGCTAATCCTCAATATTGACTTCATCGGTATCTCTCTGCTATTGTCTTGCAAGTGATTTCTGTAGCCATCTTAAAGTATAAAAGGAAGTATAAGAATAAGCTCAAGGAGAGGATTCGCCTGCAAAATTTTGATACTTGTACTACACACGCCTAAAAGCTCTAAGGCTCTATCACGACTACGGTGGTATTCCGCTATAAAAAGTTGTAGGGTGTTGACTCTTTTTCGATTATTTAGGGTGCTAAAGTCAAGAAAGTGGGTATAATGGAAAATTTAGTTTCCTAATCTCTACTTCTTCTTTAAATATGCTGTCTGATTAGTGACTAATTGGACTTACCCTTACTCCTTGCCAATACTTTCGGGCACGATCGGGAACAATATTAGCCTTGTTGCCATCATAATCATTCAATGATTGCCATTCACCCTGAAATGTACCGTATCCTCCAATTTTCCAAAAGGCATAGTGCATAACAATCGTTGGACATTGCTGATAATGTTTGATCAGTCAGTATAGAACGGCATCGGTGGATATAACAGTAATGTGAGCTTGTCCTCTGAAGCCGCCAATGGGATTTTATGAGTGTAGGAGGAGCACCGATTGGTATTGTGTACGCAGCTTGTGGGTATCCTGCAGTGCCGTATAAAGCTCTCATTTGCGATCTATACATACGTTCGAATCGCGGCTACTGCTTTGATTTCATCAATAGGAAGGACAGCTATGGGCAGCAAAACGACTATTCTGCATCTCTGCTTCATCGATATTCAATATTTAGACAAACAGCATAAAATTTAACTTTGAAAGCTATATTGATTCAATGTAGAGTATTCTACTAGCTGCTATCTGTAGAATCCTCGGCTTGGGAATTCTCTTATCCTGGGTGGTAAGTTAGGTTGTTTTCTTCTAAGAACAATTAAAGAGCTGGACGATCGCATGCTTTAAAAGATCGGAAATTTATGCTTCGCAGTTGTGTAGCCCAACTGGTTATGACTTTGTAAGGTGATTAAATACGTAGATCAAGTCCAAGATATAGCAGTATATATATAAGGCTTAAACATCTGATCTCAGCAAAA